CGATAACAAACATTTATTAATACTCAAGTAATTACAACCAAAGGGTAGTGTCCATCACAGGGGATCCTATCATATGATCACCCTTCAACAGCAGCCCAAGCAACAACTCTACACAACATACTACTAGACTTAATCAGGAACAGAAACAAAAGAAGTGAACTGTTCAGAAAGATAGAATACATTAGTAGCTAGGGTATTACAGCAAATATCAAATGAAGCATTCTTATTTCGAATTTTTTGCAGCAGACTTCTATTCTCCAACTTACAATAGCATTTGTCCCACCCTGCTTGCAATGCCTTCATCATTGACCACCTCACAGCTTCCAACCAAAGTCCTTCTTTGCATCCATCAAAGGTAGTAGATTCAGTCCACACTACAGAGTGCTCTCCTCCTTTATCAGCTTTACAAATCATCATCAATTGGTTCAAAGGGGTGCTTGAGGCACTGACATGCAGGGTCCACTGTCCTACCTCCATGGAAAACTGCTCTCCTGAACCAATGTGATGTTGATCAGTCCCACTACTACTGGCTCCTGTTTGTATCAGGCTATCTGCATATTCTATCCATTCTGCTCGAGCTCCTGTTGCTATCTGGATTTCACTCACTTTTGTTTGCTGGAACACCCACAAATTTCTTGTTTTCCAGAGCCACCATAGTATGTATGAAGAAAGACTGATTCTATCCTTCATATGAGTAGTTTGGGCATCTCCACTTATGTTTTCCCACCATTCTCTAAACTTGAGTTTGGTCTTGCTGTCTATTCCAAAAAACACCACTCAGCTTCCACACTGTCCTTGCTCTCTCACAATTAAATAGTAGGTGATCCAGATCTTCATCTTCCTCCCCACACAAAAAACATTTACTGTCCACTGCAATGTGCCTCCTGTTTAGTTGGTCATTTGTACTAAGAAATTTGTGCCAACACTGCCATAAAAAGTGTTTGATTTTATTTTTAATTGGCAGTTTCCAGAGCACCTTCCAACATTGCTTCCTAGTATCATTCCTAGAGCTAGAACTTGCTTCCTCTGAAGAAGTAGGGATAACTCTTAGGAAATGATCATAGGAAGGTTTCACTTTAAATTTTCCATCTTTCCCAAATAACCAGAAGGGTTTATCTTTTTTTCCTGTCCTGGACAGAGGAATTTTAAAAATCATTTCAGTATCCTCAGGTCTAAATGTTTGCAGTATAAGGTCTCTATCCCATCTCCCACTCACATCACTAACTAAATCTCTCACCACTCTCAACTTCTCTCTATCCCCAGAAAAACAGCAAGAGGGTATAGGATTAACATTTATAGGGAGCCAAGGATGTTTCCCAAATAGAAATGTTTCTCCCATCACCCACTTGATACCTAGTCCCTGCTTTTAACAGATTGAGAACCCCAACCCAACTCTTCCATAACCAAGAATCCTCATTTTTTGGTTTAACATCCCACAGACTCCCCTCATGGAAATACTTACCCCTTAACACCCTACTGATAAGCAAATTTGGTTGGGTTAATAACCTCCAAAGTTGCTTTACCAATAGGGTATCATTGAAAACTCTCAAATTTTTGAATCCCAACCCCCCAGCAGTTTTTGGTTTGGATAGTCTGTCCCAATTGGCCCAATGAATCCTATCCCCCCTGCTCATTTTTTCCCCCACCAAAAATTAGCAATTGCTTTACAAATAGTTGTACAAATAGAAACTGGAATTTTGAAACATGACATAACATAAGTTGGAAGAGATTCAATCACAGTTTTGATCAAAATTTCCCTTCCAGCAGTACTAAGAAAATTATTCTGCCAACAAGAGAGTCTAGAAAAAACACACTCGGAGACAAATTTAAAAGTATCAATTTTAGACCTACCAATCCCTAAAGGCAATCCAAGATATTTAGAAGAAGACACACATTTTATCCCTTGCAAAATATGGCAGATTCTAGCTTTGGATCTATAAGGAGTATTTTTGGAAAAGAGAACTGAAGATTTATCAAGATTAACACTCTGACCTGATGAGGCACCAAAGTTATCAAGGATCTGCAAAATTAAGGATGCATGAAAGTCATCAGCATTGCAAAATAAGATAGTATCATCAGCAAAGAGAAGATGGGAAATGGGAGGAGAGAATCTACTGATTTT